TTAATAAATTGGAACTTTGAGCAATACTTTGCCTCGGACTCTAATTTACTTTTGGATGCTATTTGGAACCCTGACATCTAGTGTAAGAACAAAAATCAATTTCCTCATGGTTCTGTCCTCCTTGAGAAACCACATTCCTATCAGAGTATCCCATTGAATACTTACTTGCAGTCTTCGACCAAATCTTTCTGCAGCTTCTTCCAAACCACAGCCACTGATGGGTCATGGGGCTGGCGGATGGCTTTAAGAGTATCTAGATTCTTTTTCTGTTGGGGTGGGGGTGGAGAGAAGCACACGTCAATCCTTGTCATCCATGTCTCTTTAAGCGAAGTGACCTCTGGGAGCAACAATGCAGACAATTCCCCAAATATCCGACTGCTTCCAGCTTGTAGTTAGAAGCAACCCCCTGAGTTTCAGGGAGGTGTCAAAATGACAGTTACCACATGGTTGAAGCACAGCACAAGTTTTGAAAAGGGGGAGGCACTGTCATTTTGACTTTTTTTGGTCACTACCCTCATCCTGTGAACATGCCCGGAATCTAAGTAGAATGTTAGATCTTCTGTTAAGTGTCAGGGTTCCGATGGATCCCTTAATTACTGTATTTTTGGACTATAAGATGCACCGGAATATAAGATGCACCGGAATATAAGATGCACCAAGATTTTGAAGAGGTAAATTTAAAAAAGGTTTTTGCCCTCCCCGTCCCACAGGAGCACTCTGCAGGGCTCCCAAACCCTATGTGCATCAATTTTTGCGAAACATGCGATGCGCGGGGCAGGGTTTCAGGAGGCCAAAAATGCTGTATTCAGTGTATAAGACACACCCAGATTCTCACCCTCTTTTTTGGGGGGGAAAGGTGCTACTCTGAAAAGTACATTAATCTATGAGCCTCGAGCCAAGTTTCAAAGGAAATCCAGTGATTTATTAGCAGCAACATGTCAGCAGTACCTGAGTGGAGTTAGCACTGCCCCAGGTGATTTATGGCCCAACCACACCCTGTTTCCTCACCCCTTCCTCCTAGGATGTGTCATAAATCACATTCTCCAACCAAAGTCCTTTCACAGTTGTAGAAACCCCGCCTCTCCAGCTGGCTGTGGTAACCTGGGATACAGAGCCGAGGTGGCGCAGTGGTTAAATGCAGCATTGCAGGCTACTTCAGCTGACTGCAGTTCTGCAGTTTGGC